CCTGTCGCCCCTTTACTACCGCCGTATAAAGGGGGTTTGCGAAAAGAATATAGTTCGTGAATAAAACTAGCCCTCTTAATATATGTTATGCGAAATATATTATTTCATATCGAGTATAAGGTTCCGTGGACATTTGTGTTTGTCATAATTAAACATTCCTGTTTAAAATGAAAACAGAAATCATTTTCAAACAGCGATTATTTTTTGGCGTTAGAATACATAAACAGTTAGTACTGATCAGCTGAGCTGTCCTCCAGGCTTACAAAATCCGTCAAATTTGATCAAATTTGATCACAGGTAAGTATGAAAGTTGACATATACACATTTATAGAACCCCGAACATTGTAACTGAAACATTGTTGCTTGCTGTCATATTAGGCTACTCATATTTAGCATAGTTGGAAAGTGTGTCGTCTCCTACCCCAGCTGGCACAAACCGTCAATCACCCACTGACCCATACCCCCACAGCTGAATGCCCTGCTATTTTTCACAAATTCAACTACCAGCGGTGGTATTGATTTAAACATATGTTATTTCGAAAAAACAAATGGATTAGGCACAAGTGACACACTTACGAGGCCTTCTCCTATATACATTTCATTACATTGTGGTATGTGAATTCTGTGGTGCAGAACATATACCTACATACACTCACACATAAATCTACATATATACACATGATGAATTTACATTTTTGGTATACAATGGTACATGATATATTTACACAGTTAATAAACTACATGTAATAGACATTTTAAATTTATGTGAAGGGCGGGAAATCTAGAATGTAACTAAGCTGTGATAGTTACAGGAAATGCTATTGTTTTACATCAAAATCAGAGTGTTGAAACAACCATGTATTATATGTACCAATCACTTGTAAAATCCAGATAGTTTGAAAGTAGCTCGTGAAATATAATTCTTGTTATAGTTCTTGTTGTATTAGGATACAATTTAAAATCTGTTTGTTTCTACAATAAATTTATGGACATATTTAAAAATTATCTTATTTTGTTCTTCAGATAGAATTTTGTTACCACAAAGAATTGTTTCTAAATTTGTCTGAGTCCCTATATTCCTAAAGTTGATAAACAAAAATTGTCTTATTTAAGAATATTTAACCCTAAATAAATCATCATTTAGATTGCTACATCTATGTCTAAGTCTTGTGTGGATAATATTAATTTGACGCTTTCCATAATTGAAATAATTTGGAGATTTAATAACAATTGAATAAATTTTAGTTTTTAATTCAGCTACAGAGATACTATTTTTAATATTTTCATTTTGTGAATTCCATTGTTTTAAAGAGTCTATTATAAATGATTTCTGAAATGTACTTGTTCTGGCAAAAGGTACAGTCATGTTCTGTTTGTTACGTAGGTTATAATTTGAAGCAGCTGATCTATTGTGGGGTAACAAATCCTTTAGATATGAGGGACATTCATTTATTATTATTTTGTGCACTGTCGTAAGTTTTTTAATTTTTCGTCTCTCTTTTAGTGGTAGCCAGTCGGTTTCGAAATATAAACTTTCTCTCGAGGCAAATTTGGTCAAGCCAGTCACAATTCTGGCAGCGCCAATGTGTATTAATTCAAGTTCATTTTCGTTATAAGCAGAACAGTTGTTCAATACTTCCGACGAGTATTCCAGAATAGACCTTATAAATGTCAGATAGATTTTTTTACAGATTATATCTGTTTTATTTATATTTAAGTTTACGCATAGATGAAACCATTTTCGCTGTTGACCTAGCAATAATTGAAACATGTGCAGTCCATTTCGTATCTTGAGATAACGTGCCCCCCCCCCCCCCCCCATGTTTGTGGGTTTCAACATGTTCAATGGCACTGTTAGCATAGCAAATAGTTTGATAATCCTGTACCTGTTTGTGACTAAAAAGCATGTATTTTGTCTTGTTTGGATTAAAGTTTACAAGCCATGTGCTTGCCCACTGGTGGAGAGAGAGAGAGAGAAGGTCTTGATTTAGTCTGTCTTCAATTACCATATCAGTAGATGAAGTATCGTCGGCGAATAACCTAGTAATATTTTGAAGCTGATCAGTAATATCATTTGTGTAAACTAGAAATAGGAACGGCCCCAGTACAGAGCCATGTAGGACACCTGCTTTAGTGAATGTTTTACTTGATAAACTACCATTAATAAATACTCTTTGGCAACAGGCTGACAGATAACTACGACACCAAGCTAATAATTTACCAGTTATACCATATTGTTGAAGTTTATGCAATATACCTTTGTGCCATACCCTGTCGAATGCCTTAGAAATATCACAGAATATCATACAAAAATATTTATGATCAAGTGAATTACAAATGTGATGGTAAATTTCAATTAATTGATATGTAGTACAATTGTTTGGCATGAATCCCGATTGATATTTGGAAAGTAGCTTATTCTCCAGAAAGTAATTATACATTCTTTTAAAAATGAGTCTTTCAAATAATTTCCCAAGACAAGATAACAAGTGAAAATATACCTGTAGTTGGAAGGGTTGGATTTATCTCCTTTTTTGTACAAAGGCATTACAGTAGCAAGTTTCCACTGTGATGGGAATGTGCTATGTTCAAGAGACAAATAAAATAACAAGCGTAAATGATTGGCTATGGATAGTGATATATATTTAAGTGATCTGTGATTCAGGTTGTCGGGACCGCTTGCTTTATTTACCGGTAGGGACTTTATGAGATCTGTTATTCTTGACTTTCAATAACGGTATAATCCAATTCATGTTCACATAGTTTAACAAATGGTGGTAGTGAGGCGCAAACTGGTCTCGTTATTGTGTGGTATGAGCTGTGACGTGGACCCAAGAGAATAAAGTAAAACATGAGACCAACGCAAGGCTACAATGATTGGGAAAGTCTAGATTTCCACAGCTCTAGCCTGAAATTAAGAATTGTTCTGTCCTCCTGTTTAATTTTTTAATTTTATTTTGTAGACATGGATAGACCAACCAGGAAAGAAATTGATGGAATATTAATATCACATGTCACCAATAATCCAGTTAAATTCATCACACAATAACATATTAGTATTTGATATTACGAAGGGCATGATCAGGTACATGTTCACGATAGCTCTTTGAATTTTTTTTGAAATATTTATCACTGATATTGAAGGTCAATTTCACACTGCAAAGTGATACCACATGAAGGGTGGAAGTGTAAGATCAAGGCAATAATGAAGGGGTCATTCAAAAAGTATTTCTGCAATTATAACTAAAATGCCTATTTCTGGAGATATTTGTGAAGTATTAAGCACGTAGTTGTTACATTATTTGAATACACATATATGAGCAGTGGTTACAACTCCAGTGTCAAATTAACTCTCAATCTCTTTCAATAAAAGAATTCACAGTAACTGAGGAAGAGCTCACTGTAGTACCATAAAACTAGCGTGAGGCAAACTTCAATGAAGTTAGCATTTTGGATATAACAAGTACATGTACCGTTACAAATAGTCTTATTATCATCTCACTAGGACCAAAGGCCCAAAGTGAGCACATTGTCAATGATTTTTTCTTTTTCTCAGTACAAACTGGAAGTCTGGACATGAAATTTAAGGATATCATTATACGAGAACTGATGTTTGCTCATTAAATACCCTAAACATCTGAAAAGAACAATATATGGAATTGAACAATTGTCTTCTCCAAAAATGTTTTAGGTGGATATTTACCATTAAAGTAACACAGAATATTACAACAGCTATCTGTTATGCACAGGCTAACATTATTTACCAGAAACAAGACATGAAGAAAATTTGCATCCGGATACCTTCCGGAAACCTTCCGGAAACCTTCCAGATACCTTCAGCACCCTTCAAATTTCTTGATATTTTCAAGATAATTTTTGTATGTGTTTCACACTTAAATGAACAAAATGCACCCATCCCATCCCAAATATTATAATATACATAACTGCCTAGTAAGTACTCCGGGGTCTGTGTAAGTAACAAAAAAAATATATAATCTGTTTTAATGTTTTAAGGTTTAAAACTATATGTCCTGTTGTGTGAAGTGTTTCTCAAAATCAATTGCGCAACCTGGCGGTATTTATACAACTCAACATTTGATAAGGATATTGAGACACTTCGCACTATTACATCTACTTGTTATGACTAATAACATAATACATGGAATGAATAAAAAATATAGAGGATATTTAATGTGTTTTCTCAAATACCACTTTTATCTCATCGAGTGAAGTGGGGAGAGTCTAATATTTTCACTCGTGAGTGAAAATACTAGACTCTCCCCACTTCACTCGATTAGTTAAAAGTGGTATTTGGGAAAACACATTGAATTTTCTATTTATTATATACATGTTTTATTTTTATTACTTGCAATTTATATATTTTTTCGAAAACAGTGTCTGATAAATTGCTAAGTTCTCCCTGTCGCCCCTTTACTACCGCCGTATAAAGGGGGTTTGCGAAAAGAATATAGTTCGTGAATAAAACTAGCCCTCTTAATATATGTTATGCGAAATATATTATTTCATATCGAGTATAAGGTTCCGTGGACATTTGTGTTTGTCATAATTAAACATTCCTGTTTAAAATGAAAACAGAAATCATTTTCAAACAGCGATTATTTTTTGGCGTTAGAATACATAAACAGTTAGTACTGATCAGCTGAGCTGTCCTCCAGGCTTACAAAATCCGTCAAATTTGATCAAATTTGATCACAGGTAAGTATGAAAGTTGACATATACACATTTATAGAACCCCGAACATTGTAACTGAAACATTGTTGCTTGCTGTCATGAATTAAATTAGGAAAGTTCAATTCTCGGAAAATTCAAGCGTGCGCTTCTCGCCTCGGCGGTACGTCTGCTGTCGCCAGTTTGGCTAATGTCTGGCGAAGCATGTCCGGCGCAAGAGTGATATTAACATTGCCATAGATGTTATTTCCAGACATCAGTTCTGCACCTGCGGTTGAGTACAGTCGGCATCTGACGTTAACAAAGGGGGATAACTCTTTAATGTTTTGATTCAGGAGAAAGTAGTTCCGGCACCTTGTTTATATCAGTCACTCGTGACTGATAACTTGATCTATCGTCACTGATAAATTCCAGTATTTCATTCATATGTATATAATAAAAAGATATATCCCTATCAAAATGTGAGTAGTATATTGCCATGTGGATGATACCAATCGAAAAAAAAAAAATCACGTGACCACATAAATTTCAAATATATTTAATATTTCGCATCTGAAGCCATCAGCCATTCGGATTCAACATGTCGATGTTCAAAGTCATCTGTCTTCTAGTTGCCATCGAACCGTCGTTTGGATCTTGTCCCGGGCCAGAAGAGCTTCCTGACAAGTTAGGGGCTTTTTTGAATGATCTACAAGACGCAAAGGCCTTACTACGTACTTGCTCTGAAATCACCAATGAGCAGTGCCCATGTTTGGGTAAGTCAAGAACTCTTTCGAAGGGACATGTTTGAAACTAATTATGTATGTGTGAAATACAATATAGGGGAAGTCTATTAATACTAATTGGACAGACAATGTAATTAGAAAACCGCCTTATTCTGCAGTTTTCAGCAGCGCATGTACACACACACGTTAACCTCAGTAAATGTTAACGTCAAAGTTGTATGAGAAACAAAGTATTACAAGAGAAATATATAAATTACTAATTAATTTAATCACGAAAGTATACACCAACAACAAACCGACAAAACTTTAAATAAAGCATGATATAGTGAATGATGGGCCAATAAACTGGAAAAAAAACACACTTTGAAAAACATTAATTTGCTTCGTTCTTCTATTAGTCGAAGGCAGTTAGTGGTGATTGTCACAAATATTTGGTAATTGGAAAACAATGATTTGACGGGATAAGAAGCTCTTTGTATGCTTTTGACAACTTTGTTTTATTCCGATGACCAGTTGATCTGGCCAAGGGTGCAAATACGGCGATAGGCAATAATCACTCACTCACTATGTTCTTGACTGAGTTACGTCTTAAACCACTTTCAAAATTATTTATATCAGGGTTTGTCAGTTCAATGTGGTATGAAAGCCCGAACTGATGAAGGTTCAAAACGTTCACGAATTTACAATTGGTTTTGTGCTGATAAACCAAGAATGGTCACCTTGAATGCCTATGTAAATCACTGTTTATGTTTTCAAAGGATAAAGGTATTCAATAGGTGCATGGGATGCCGCTGTAGTTTCAGTGTTAACTTTAGGGACCGAGCATGTACTGTTCTAGGTTGGGGCTGGTGGTTTGGTTAGTGACGGAATATGTTTTAATTTTAAATCAACACGTAAAAAGGATACATGTATTTTGATTCAAAAGGAGCTAAGCAATCTGCTTGGGTCCACAACACTTTATTATTACACACATGTCCAGCATGTCCAGTGAACGACTTTCTGTGTCTCTTCCAGATTATTTATAGTTTTAACATCAATTGTTTGACCCTTAATACGGATGCGATTGCACGCATCCTTTTACGAATTGGAACATCAACATACTGAGCCTTTTTTTTCATTTTCCCAAGCTCAATCATCATGTCCTACACGCTTGCTTGTGACACAGAAATATGGAATACTGTAAGGGACATTCTCGCGATCTCGACCTTTGGAAACGAGGTAAATATGCCAAAAACACGAGAATGCGAGATCGCGAGAACGCGAGATTTGGCCAAAATCTCGCGTTCTCGCGGTCTCGCATTCTCGTGTTTTTGGTACATAGCACTCTTTGTCAAAAGTCGACAACGCGAGAATGCGACATTTGGACATGATGCAAAATCTCGCAATCTCGCAATCTCGACTTGTCAAATTAGTCCACAAAATAACGAAATCGCGAGAACGCGAGAATGCGACATTTCATTTTCTCGCGATCTCGCGTTCTCGTGTTCTCGCGTTTTAGACGCTGTCCGTGCGCATGCGTAATATCACAAGGTCAAGGCCCATGCGCACGTTAGTAGTCCTTTGGTCATGCTTCTTTCATGCTCTTCATTCTCCAAGTAGCATTTAGCAAACTTATGACTTGAGCTTGAAAATGCTATGTAATTTACATACACAACGTCTGAGTCATCTCCCGTTGTAACAGTTTCCTATGTACTTTATAATAAAACCCTCAACATGCTCAATATAATTTAACAAAAGAAATTGTGTCTATGAATGTCCAATGATACTGAAAACATTAATGTGTCCGAAAGCTGGAAACAAAACTATTACCGTCAGTGATTTCTTAAAGCCGCACCAGCAGTACTACAGTTACAGAAATAATCACAAGCCAGTGAGTTTCTCCATGAGGCAATTTTATACACGGCTAGCATATTCATGAAAGGCAAAATTCTCATAGACCAATTTGAAATACAAAATTAATTATCATATTTTCATCCGCTCCAACCTGACTACAAAACATCCCGCTTTACTTTATTTTATAGTTTAAATGGATAAAATTATCATTAAACCGCCCGCATGTTATCATAAATGAGCGGGCCACTGTTAAAGAAATAAACGACGAGTGGGAGTACAATAAAACACTGGAGGGAGAATAAACCATGAGGGGCGAGTGTTTTATTGTACAATAAACAACAACCACGAGTCGTTTAATGATTATATGAGATATCAACATTATGTACAGCCTCTTTAAGGATGTTGATAAAATGTACAAGGTTTAAAAATATTTACCCCTATTTAAGGCGGGTATTTCCCGCATATGCTCACACAATCCTCAGGTCGATTACACGTACCTTTTCTCCCAAAACCGATTGTCATATTGTAACCGGGGATTGTGAAGGAAAATACAATTTCAAACATAGGCTACGGGTGTGAGTGTTTATTGCCAGAGTAGATAATGACATCCTTTAATGTACAAAACAATAACATTATAAAAACAATACTGCATAGGTTTCATACACATACATATTCACACATTCATTCAGTTCATATAAACATACGTCAATATTCTGTACATGAACATGAACTTAATAATCAATGATATACAAAAAAACAATTCATCAAGGGCGATAACTCGATCCCGACATGACTCATAAGATACAATATAAACCTGGTCCATGTTGTAAAATACACTTAACATTATAAATACAATTACCACTTTCTTGAAACTGCTGTATTTATTCAGTAACTCACCATATATTTGGCACGATACACTATTTACAATTCATATTTCGAGACACGACAAACATGTAAATTACCCGTACCCTGTGGGTGACACTGGGATGTTTATCGTCCTCATGCAGCCGCCATTACGATTGTAATGCCTCAGCATCTAAGGAGAGCAACCTGACGGTCACTTCCCTCTCACAATTAACGTCGTCTCTCACTGCGTTATAAATTACAAGATCACAATCGAATCATCAGAAATGAGGTCATGATTAATCGTATAATACATCCCGCTTCGTTCTTCGATGTTCTTAGCGATTAAACGCGTGGTCATCTATAGAGTAAGTGCGAGAGTTGGGTTTAACACTGCTTTTATCAGTATTCCAGTTATATCACAGCGTGTCAGCTTAATATGAGAGGAAAGCCCGAAGTGATGCAGGTCTCAGACGTTTACCTCTTCGATGAAGCCCACGAGAACGGGTATGGTGAAACAAGAAACATAATCAGAGCGAACCGGGATTCGAACCCACAATCATAGGTTTCGGGCGTGCCCAACTGACGCAACTCTGCACAGAGAATCGCGGCGCCTTAGACGACTTGGCCACCCTAACGAGTGTTGATATTTTGATGTCAGACCGCCGTCATATAGCTGGAATATTGCTGAGTGCGGCGTTAACAACAAACAAACAAAATCTTTCTGAAAAATACCATTAGGCATCCATGTTGGTTATTTGACTGTTAGTTGTCAGACAATATTTGTCAAATTCAGTCAGTTCACAGGCAAGAAAGGGAGCGTGTTCTTGACTTTATTATGTTACCAGTCTACATATATATTTCTGTATAATCAAAAGACTTGGAATATGTGCATTCTGACATTGTCAAAAGTCACGTGATTTTGAGCAGCCATTTTGAAATAAACTGCATTAATTTGCAAAGCAGAAATTTCTATGAACGTTGTGGTTTATTTCGTCGTTTTGATGTCAAAAGACACGAGCGTGAGATTTTATTCATCATCCAACATCATTCTTCCAACTTTTTGAGTTTGTAGACAGTAATAAGCAGTGTCTTAAAGATGTTGGATACAATGGTTGGTGCGCACCTCAGTTCACGCCGTTGCACGCGAGTTTACCGAGACGAATAACCTTACAAAATAGTTACATATAACTGTATAGGCAATTAGCACAAAAACACGAGAACGCGAGATCACGAGATCGCGACACTTGACCAATCTCGCGTTCTCGCGTTCTCGTGTTTTTGAAAATAGTTACATATAACTGTATAGGCTATTAGCACAAAAACACGAGAACGCGAGATCGCGACACTTGACCAATCTCGCGTTCTCGCGTTCTCGTGTTCTCGTGTTTTTGAAAATAGTTACATATAACTGTATAGGCATTAAGCACAAAAACACGAGAACGCGAGATCGCGACACTTGACCAATGTCGCAATCTCGCGTTGTTGCCTTAGTTATTGTCCCCCCTTCCCCACCCCCACCCACCCTCCCCCGTGAGTATCCGGATGATATAGCAGATATCAAGACTAGTTCGCGACCTGTGCTGCGCCATTCGTAAGCGCATGTATCGCTTTTATTGATAGTATTTCATTGTGGGTATATTGTTTAGCCAAAATGTATAAAGTTTCACGAAGGCAATTTTTGCAACGCCTAAATATTCAGTTATTTTACAAATTGACTGCAAATCGGTCAATTTCATCACCCAGTGACTTAAAATGATAGGATTAAAAGAAAACAAAATTCAAAGTACGTTTCTATAGTTTGGGCTTCTAATACTAGCGGGGCGGTCGGGTAGCCTAGTGGTTATTGCTGAAATAGTGCTAAAAGGGGGGTAAAAACAAACACACTCACTCACTCAAATACTAGGATAAATAGTCTATTTTTAAGCCCTTTTGAACCTCTTAAAAATTGTTAGTCAATCTGGACTTGGATTCAGTCAATTTCTATATTACTGAAATATTTAGACATTTTATAAATTGCCTGAGTGAATCACTTTTTACACATTGAGTGTAATATACATGTATACACGCCTACAGGTACAAGAGGAACAAAACTGATTCTATCCAGTGCAACAGCAAATGAATGAAAACAAAATGCAAATATCATAATGACGCAAATGTCGCCCCAGACCATCACACTTCCGCCCCCTAAAGGTTCCACCTCCTGGACACAACAAGGAGCCGTACGTTCACCACGTCGTCGACACACTCGCGTCCGCCCATCAGGTTTGAAGAGTTGGAACCTGCTCTCGTCACTAAACAGCACTCGCCGCCATTCCCTTTGTTGCCATCGCTGAGTTGTCTGCACCACGTCA